CACTTTCCTCCAAGAAGTGCAGCAGCCGCTTGACTGGTTGCCATGGCGTCGACTGAGTCGGCAGTTGAGCAAACCTCAAAGCACTGCACTACAAACATGGCATCAGGGTGCTATTTGTACACGCAGTGCAGACGGTCAGGAAGGCAAGCATTTGATGTGCCCTCACTGTCACACAGAGGCAACACCGATTCATCTCCTATGGTTGTGTCCACAGACGCAAAAGCGATTTGCACCGATGGACCAGCTCGACAAGCAGGAGATTGAACAAGGGATCAACCTTGAGTTCTGGTCCCAAGGCCTGTTGCAGTTGCCCCAATATGAGCTTTCAACAGGAGGTGCGGCAGTGCAGACATGGGGATCCTGGACGGTCAATGATGAAGTTCAGCTGGGGGACCAGGACATGGTGACCATCGGCATCGCTCCGACAAGCCATGACCCACGGCTGAAGCATTTTGTTGTCGCCTTGGTCCACCACACCCATATGAACGGGGACCTTTTTCGCAAAGGAGCTGTCACAACAGTGCTGCCGGGCAAGCAGTCGATGGAGATAAGACTGATAGCCCACTACCTGGACTTGACCAAGAAGGTGGTGGTGCAAGTCCTCTCGGTGAGGGCCTGGGAGGCATGGGTCAAGGGATGCCACAAAGAGGCCTTCTACGACCTCAACAACCTAGTGACAGCAGATCAAAGACAGAGAATACAACCGTTGAGCCTGACACTCAAGCAGGTCAATGAGATGCCCAAAGGTTTGTACACGGTCAAGGCTAGGCTGAGAGATGCCACCAAGGCAGCCAAGGAGGCGGCCATGTCGCTTCGACCTCACATCACAGATCAGCGCTACCAAAAGATAGCACCGTTGGCTATCAAGCGCATCAGGTACTTGCTTGAGACTAAGGATCATTTCCTTCACCAGACTCGAGAAGCAGGCAAAACCAAAAGAGAACAGACAAGAGCCAAGAAGACTCAACTTTTTCTTGACTTAGGCAATCAGCAAACGGAGAATGGTCACAGCTGGGAGAAAAAGGGCATTGGGCTGCAATGCACCAAATGCCAAGTGCGCATCACCAAGCATTGTACAGTTGAAGCCATTGAGACGGCAACAACCGAGTCATGCCCTGGAGCAGCGAAAGTCGATTTGGTGGGAGGGCAAAAACCAGAAGCCCAAACCAAAGATGAACTCATTCACCAAATGGTGCAAGGGGAGCTCCCGCAGATGGAGAGTCATCAGTTTGAAGTCCAGAAGCATTACATCGTTTGTACGGCCTGCAAGGGACGCAGTTTGCGAAACTCAGCCCGTGAGAAACTTTTGGCCTTAGCCACTAGCCCATGCTGGAACAAGCCCTGGCAGATCCCTAGTGGGTGGACTGGACACGCCAGCCACAAAATGTGGCGACAAGGGGGCAAAGTGTTTTGCACTCAGTGCAAGGCCCATGCAACGGGTCGCGCTGACTCGTACCAGTCCAGCAAAGGGCTGAGGATGGCGTGTGGCGAACGGGCAAACCAACAAACTTTGCCTAGCTGTTTCAAGACCAAAAAGGTCTAGAGAACGAAGAGCTTAGGAAAAGAGACGAGAAAAAAAATTGATAACGAAAGAAAATGACTCGAGGTCAAGTCACCAGGGGAAAAAGCATCTGCTTATACAAGATCAGAAGAGCGAGGACTTGGAACAAACCGGCAAATTCAAGAAATCAGTCTGATTTCAGACAAGTGATGAAGAGACCAAGGCGGGCAGTGAAACTTCTCAGCTTGCACTTGCCACCCAGCGAATGGAAGCTATGACAATGAGCCCACCACTTTGGACAATGGGCAAAACACTGCTGCGCAAGCTGACAAATGCAAATCCCGGAGCATCAGTCTTGCGAACTCAGACAGCCCAGCAAATGACGAACCTCAGGCCGACGCGGAGCTGAACAACACCGACCTTAGCCTTGAAGAACCCCAAACAGCAGTGCACAACGATCGAACAAACACCGAACAACGCATCACAGACAATGCAATTGCCAAAGTTCACAGCCAGGCTCAGCATGCAGCCTACCAGGTCAAAACACAATCACGCATAACAGCCCATTTGTTATACGAACGCTTCACTTTCCGTCACCATTGAGGGGTTCCCCAAGGATGCGGTCTACTCGGACAAGCAGTCCTTTATCCAATGGATGCTCGACTGATGTCACAAGGGAGAAGTTAGCAACACAATCCTCGCAATGTTTTCGAATCCTCGCAATGTTTTCGTCGGGATGGCATCGAAACTCAGTGGTTTGTTGACACATACCCCTGTCGCGAGCACCAACTCTGGTGGTAGTTACAAGCAACGAAAAGCCACACGCAAACTGCAATCCGTGTACAAATGCACGAAATCGGGGTCGTTACCTCAAGCCGGCTATGCATACTATCAAAGAAAGTGGCCGACATGACAACATTGAGTTTTATTCCGCTTGGGGTGAAAACGCCATCCATGAGTACCTCGTATGGTGCCATTTTAGCTACGCAAGCGCCAAATTTGCCTGGTGCTTGCCGACAGCCCGATCTTCAACAACATTCGCGAAAACGTGGACGACAAAAGCGATTCCAACGCCAAAAGGAAGGGAATAACCAGACCAGTTCAGAAAGGCAGCGGCAAAGGTAAATTGTTCTATGCTTGATCCCTGTGCGAACATTCCGGACAAAATACATCAAGGTCAAGAGTTGGCGACATGATGACCTAATCAAAGCTGTGCTGCAGGATGAACAGGATGCACAGGAAAAGTTGGAAGGGTCCAGTGGTTATATAGCACTTTCTATGGAGAAATTATACCTCTTTGTGAACCAGCTGCAGACAGCTGTTAGTCGACTTCTGCATCACCAACGAAATCGTTGCCGTCAATAACTTCTTAAAGGCGACAGCCGCCCACAAATGTACCCAGTAGCTTCTTGCTCCTAGTAGCGATGCCAGGAGCCCCTAGTAGCGTCCTTGCTCCTAGTAGCAATGCCCTTTTTTTCCTAGTAGCACACAAATGTACTTAGAGATGTGGGAACAAATGGCTGTCAAGGTCCATGGACTCCAGACCGATTTGCAGAATTAGATCTTTTTCTGAAGCAGGCGCAGTGGAGAAACGCAATCCTGAATTTACACTCGCACACCAATATCGCCTTCAATAGTGATCATGCGATTGTAGCAGGCGATCGGATTAAATTCGGGGCCCGAAGGAAAATCAGGTTAATTCGCTGCTTGGATAGATGTTTCCCTCCAGCCCCCAACGCACTAACAATTATCGACCTATAATCGTTACATTACATCCATGGCAACTTTCGGTTGATTCTAGACACGTTCGAAAGTTACATGCAGAATTGTGAGCGGTTCGTTTCTTCCCTGATCACGGCCAATGGTCTAACCGAGTCTAACCTACAGAAGAAAAAAAAGAAAACACTACAGTATTCAGTCAATCGCGAGTACCTCTCTACTCATACCTGGAATCTCATACAACAAGGACAAGCTGGTCACCAATGTAAGAGCACTGAGGAACAACACTTAAATCGCGAAATCAAACGAAGCACGAAGGCGGACAAAGTGACTTGCGTGGTTCGCCGACTAGAAGACCATGCCGACCCAAAGACAGCTTGGCAACAAATTCCATACAAAAACACTCCAAAAGGCCAACTACAGGTGTAACGATTCCCAAGGTAGATTCTTGTTAAGAAGCTTCAAAGACATACTAAAAAGCTTCTTGTTACTACAGGTGAAACGATTCCCAGTGAAGTGTACGCAAAGTACCTTTTTCAAAAGCAATGGGGCCCAGCCACGTCTCCTCTTCCCTTTATTCAAAACCTGATATCTCGGATCAATGCATGCGATTCAATACAAACAACATAGCCCTGCTGGAAGTCAAAAAGCGATATCTAGCATAAAGACAAATAAAGCCCTTGGCCCAGATGGTCCAGATGGTGCTATAGTTGAACTCTTCAAGTAGCTGAATGATGCAAAAATATACGGACTGTCTAAATATTCTTCTGGTGTGAGCGGCGGGTCCCAGAAAAACTCACGGCTGCTTATGTTGCTTCCATTCACAAAAATGGTCCCCATGACCGTCCCATGACCGTACCGAAAACTATCTGCCTATTGTCTTACTGTAACTTATTGAACTCTTTTTTAATATCTGCTAGTGTCATTCAGCACAGACTTTCTTCCATTCTTGACGTGCACCTTGGTGATACTCAGTTTGGATTCCGTGCAAAAGGGTGGACTGCTGAACCCCTCTTTTGTGCCAATACACTTTGTCAATGCAGGCAAATGATCCTTTGTTCTGAGTTGTCTTAGACTGGGCAAAATGTTTGATAAAGTTGATCACGCGGAAATGCTTCAATCACTTGCGCAGCTTCAAGTCCCAATGCGATACTTGACTCCGTCAAAAATTGGACGACAAAAAACATGCGCAAAGCCTGGTGTTTAGCTCAACAAACTGACAGGGGCCTCCACGCCCAACGTTTTAATATACCTAACTGGTCACAAAAGCCGTCACAAAGAGAAATGCTGGTCACAAAAGTGGTCGAGTTCAAGAGCTGAACATGCCTTTGACTGGGCGCGGTTGCGCCAGAGTCGTCACTCGTGAATCAGTTCCTCCGTGTGAAAACACTCTGTGTGTGAAGAGCACATTGTTACTCGTCGCGAACATTGCTCCTAGTGGTATGGCCGCCCCTAGTAGCGTCCTTGCTCCTTGTAGCGATGCCAAGAGCCCCTAGTAGCTTCTTGTAACTAAATATGTTCTTTCCTTTTTCACTCGTGAAAGAGTTGCTCTTCGCGAATCACTTTGATTGGTGCTTGTGATTGATGACTCTTCTATTTCCTTGGAATGTACTCTATCTGTACGTATTGTTGTGAGCTCTGTACATGCCTCGTTTTACAGTCCTACGTTTTGTTCACCTTTCAATTGAATTCAACAGGGTAGGGCCAACGGCCACTTGTCTCACCCAGATAAAGATGAGCTTGCAAAACAAGAACAAAAATAAACAAATAAAAATATCTCCTCGAGCTGATTCATCCTTGTCCACTTTGCCACATCAGCTTTTCGAGCGTCATGCATCGCTTGCTTCAGGGCAGAGTCAGTTTTCTCATCCTGAGCTTTCAAACCTTCACGCATTTCGATCAGGATGGGGTCCTCCTTCTGCGCTGCGAGTTCTGCCTCCAACCTTCTCGCTTCTTCAGCTGCTTCCCTGGCTTCACGTTCCGCCTGGAGTTGCGCTTCCGTATCTTCTTGGCTCTTCTGCAAGTACTCAATGAACTCCTTACGTGTAATGAAGGCTTCTTCACCTGCCCCTCCTCTCAAGACTTCCACATAGGACTCAAGCGCGAGTATCCGCTTTCCCAATTGTTGATATGCGGCATCCACCTTTTTGGTGCTGATAAGTGACTTAAGAATGTCATCCAAATTGTCTCCGTCAAATGGATCTCCGGTGCTTCCAGCTCCTGACATTCGTCTTGCCCTTGGTGGTTCCAACTTGGGAGCACCCGCGTGCTTCCGCACATATGGCAACTGCCCAACGGTGATGGCCTTGCTGGCAGATCCATTCTTGCCGGATGTTTTCTTGGAATCAACTTTTTCTTCTGGGGTGGTGCTCGGCGCCAAAGCTTCAGGCCGTTCGAGCTCACTCTCAGGTGTCTCTTGCGACATGGCCTATCATAGCACACCCGTGCTCAGCTACACTATTGCCCTGACTTGGGCCGGAAAACAAGTAAAACATTTAAGCAAAGCTGGTCAGTCAGTATAGATCAGCAGCACTCAACATGCACAGTAAGATTAAAGCGAACATGCTTGAACGATGAATGATGCCGTCAATGAGCTCTCCAGTTTGTTCCATTTTGCCAGATCCGACTACTTTAATTCAACACTACTTAACTTAAGGTAGCTCCTTCTGTTGCCATCTTGTCAACCCCAACGCTGCTGAACAGCAAGTGACCAAGCTCCCCTAGCAGGATTTTGCGACATGCCTCAATGTCGGCTTGGCTTAGGAGTCTTAAGCCACATCGAAATCACGAATCTGCCGCTTTGCAGACTCAAAAACGAGCTCCA